AGGAGGATGAGGAGGAGGAGGAGGAGGAGGGGATGGAGACGATAGAAAAGAAAGAAACGGGAAAACACGAGGGAAAAAAGGGGAAATGAAAATGAAGAAGAGGATGAAGAGGAGGAAGAGGAGCAGGAGGAGGAGGAGGAGTTTGACAAAAGAAAGAACAAGGGAACATAATCCGTGACAGAGGGTCTAGGTCAGACTGGCTTGATAAACCACGCACTCCGGAAAATTGGAGCAAGGAGTGAATGAATCACGCCGGTGTTCGCAACTTGAGTGTCTGGGAACACAAAAATTAGAGCTGGGCTGGGCAATGATCCATTTCTCACTGAACAAGGTTTAGATGGGCTAATTTTGTTACGAATATGTGATTTCTTCATTTGACTGTTTAATTATTAATAAAGAGATGCACTTCGACACATTAATGGTAATTTAGTGCTCAGAAAAAGTAAGACAGACAGACAGACTGACAAACAGACAGACAGATAAACAGACAGACAGACAGACAGACAGACAGACAGACAGACAGACAGACAGACAGACAGACAGACAGACAGACAGACAGAAAGCAAAGAAGAGGGATTTACCAGTAGCGCTCTTTAATAACCCACACATATGCGATGAAAGGTGATGATTTTTTAAATAGGACAAGTGAGTACGTCTTGCTTTTTTTTCTTTTTAGTCTCCGTTAACACTTGGCCTAATTCCATTGTGCCGCCGACTTCCTTTCTGTCTAGATGTAAAGAATCCACTCCTACTCTGTGGTGAAATAGTTTAAACAAAAAGAGTCAGACCCAAGGATATGGCGAGTCAGTCTATGGAATAAACCAGAACAACTATTGTGTAAAATAACTTCTCCTTGACAGGTCAGAATCATTACATGAAACTGTTCCGACAGTTGATCTGTAAAACGGAACCTGTAAACCGGATCCTCACCCGCGTGAACCACTGATCCGGTTTACTGATTGTTGGTTGTTTGGGGTTTTTTTGTTGCTTTTATTAAAACATGGGTTTTGCCCACTTGTAACAAAAACAAAGGGGGCGCTGTGACACTCATGACAGAGAAGTGCATGTTAGAGAAAGCGCCGCTGTGTAACTTAAGAATATAAAAACACCCCCCCCCCCGAAAAAAAAATCCCACCCAAAAAACCCCAACAAACAAAGGGGTGCTTCTCTGTTATTTTTTAATGAATGAGTTGAGCCCTAATTAAAACAAAACAACTAGCAAATCAAAAACCAGAAAACAGAGATCACCCAAACAATCTGAAAAATTGATTTCACGCAGACGAGTTTTGCCACAGAAACATTTTATGAACCATGACGTATTTTTTGTTTATTGTCTTAA